TGATGCCTTTGAGTCGTGGTGTTAGTGTCGAATATCCCATGGACGGCCAAGAGCACAAATAAGAATGTCTTGGAAAAGCCACTGTGTTTCTGGGAGGCAAGGAAAGAGAAATTTCTTCTGACATCCTTGGAGTATGTCACTAAGAGGGACAGCCCTTAGAAATGGAGATCACGCTTATGAAAAGGCGGAGGGTCAGTGTAAGAAATGAAGGCCATCCACGAGATGGCCTGGCACAACGGGCATGCACATGACAGGCAGGATGGCTCAGGACGGGGCAGGGGTCAGATCTGCTGTTCACGCTGTTCTGTGAACCATAGTTACTCCGCGACACCACACAGCAACTCTGAGTCCACGGCCACCGTGTATATGCAGCAGTGAAAGACATCGAAGGTGAGGGGTGGGAACAGAAGCCGTCCTCTATCTGCCGAGAAGAACTGGACAGGTATGAGAGCAGGGACTCAAGGTCACTGCCACCAAGAGAACCAGAGGGACAAGCCGACTGGGAGCGTGGGCCCAGGTGACGCGGCTAATACCCAAGAATTGGGACAGATCTCTTGCGGGCACAGGGCTCATGGCCACGAGATGCTTCCCGGAAAGGCGCAGGCTGGCCGCTGAGGCCCTGGCACGGGGAAAGCATGCAGGGCCACCATCAGCAGGTGTCTCCATCCCAGACCCACCTGTCCTCGTCCCAGCTCTCCACTCACAACTCAGGCCCCATTGAAAACTGCCTCCCCGCGGGCCTCCTCTAAGGACCTATCTTACACTCTTCATCCCCCAGCCCAACTGGCCGAACACCTTTCTGAAAAGGATCTGGGCTCACACGTCAGGACGTCTGGGATCCAAGAAGGCACAGCAAACAGGGCACAACCAAGACCTGCGCAGCTTTGAAGAAGGTCTGTCTGTCGCTGAAAACTACAAGATCCATTAAGGCAATCTACAGAGTGACTAAGATTGTTCAAACAGGGATACTTTAAAGAATGAAAGGTGCAATTATGACTACTTAGGCTGGGACAGCAAACCTAAAAACAAAATCTGTTCCAGGAAACTTGGGGTGCCTGGCCATCCTATATAGGTATTTTTTTTCCTAGCCTTTTTGTGAGTTTATACAAAACAACAATGTGCATTTATATGTCACTGATATTTCATATCATTCTTTTCACAATGTAAGTGGCATATATCTGGTCCACTAGTTTTATTAATAGGGAATTCTGGTGGTTTAGTGGTAAGGAGCTGTGCTGTCATCCCTAAGGTATATGGTTCAAATCCACCAAAGTTACCATGGGAGAAAAATGGACACTCTTTTCCCAGGTGACTTACGGCCTTTGAAAGCCCACTGGACGGTCAGCTGTGAGTCAGTTCTAATTCAACGGTAACAGCAGCAACATCACACTTGAAGAGCTCCTAAACAGGAGAGTTAACAGAGTCCTGAAGGGACATCACCCATCTGTCTGTCTGTGGGGAGGGCCATGGCACTGTCCCGTGGGAGGACTGGCCTCCAGAGGGCCCGCACACAGACGTGTGGACAGCAATTCTCTGAAACAACTCTTCCTCTCGCAAAGAGTCTTCCGATTACACACGAGAAAGGAACAAAATGAAATAAGATCCCATTTCTAAGGTTAATTTTGGGCCAACCTCAATATAACATTACAGAAATAAAGAGCGGTATTTAAAGTTGCCCGCTGGCCAAGACCTCTGGTACACTTCCCGTCAGTATTTAATCTATTCGCTTAGCCAGCTTTAATGAACTGCTAGATTTATTAAATGAGGAGAAACCATTAAGGCCTATAAAATATGGCAAGAGTTATAGCACGACTGTGGCAACAATTTAAATTTCATTTTAAACTTTGTAGAGCTTGTCTTATTGAGTTCCGGCGGAGTTGAGCTACGGTTCGAATCTACCAGTGACTCCATAATAGAGATGGACTGTCCACTCTCATGTCATTAACAGCCTCTGAAAACCCACTGGAGGGTCAGCTGTGAATGCAGTAAAGTCAAGGATTCTCATGCAGAATCGCTGTTTCAAGTGTACATTAAAAAGTAATTTCACGCCATCCCCTTTTCATTATGAATCAGGGTGAAGTCTCTCTCAGGGAGGAGTGATAGGGAATGGCAAAGGATGCACTGACAAAGGAGATTAATCAGAACCGGCTTTGACAAGCACTGTGGCAATTGGACAATTAAAACAGACATTCGGATGGCGGGGGAAGAAGAACAAACTGGGGAGGAGGGTGGAGAAAATAGTGCAACCATGAATGAATGAAAACCCCAAATCTCTGTAAATGTTCATTAAAACTAGTAAAATTTAATAACAATTAAAAAAAGTAATTTCACAATTCAAACAAGCTAATACATTCGGTCTCACTACTTCTATAACAACGTAACTGTAAAGTCACATGCCAGTAAGACTTAGGCAAGAAAGTGTTATCATCTACGGGAAAGGGGATGGAGTGGGGCAGCCAGGGGCACTGAGGGACGCCAGTGTCAAATATTTCAGTGGGCGTTGTAGAGCTTCTGGGTGTCCCCAAGGATCTTAAGCTCAGACCCTGAGGACCTGTCCACCATGGTCCACACCCATCTGGATTGGCACTTGGTCCTGAACGATGCCATGGGTATTAACCCTCACCCAGCATTATCACCACCATGGCCACCTTGGGCCCATCTCAGCAGTCTGCTAGGAAAAGTGACCAAAACAAATGCATGATTGCCACAGAAATCAATGAAAGGCCTGGGGGGCAAACTGTGCTCAATTTTGGTCAATAAAATAGGACTACAAAATGCCTAATGATCATATCATATACTGTCAAGTCAACTGAGACTCATAGTGACCTTAGGGACAGTAGCTGTGAACTCTGCTCTATCCTGAGCCAAACTCACAGTCTCCAAATGTCAACCATTTCTTTTGCCCTTTTACCATTAATCTGGAAACTTAACAGTCTTAGAAAGGTGCTTCAAACCTCTCCATTTCCACCCTTCTCCCTATCATTCCGTTTCCCCTTCAATGCAATCTGAGCACAAGCTTCCTGGGCTGGTCAGTGGCCCTCTCCGTGTCACTGACCAGCCTTCCAGCAGGCAAGATGGTGCCGTGAAGACATTTGTGTTTATCTCTGTGTGTCCTCCTCACAGAACACAGAGCCTGACCCCAGGTCTAGAAGACGCATGTGACCCTGGCCTCCTGCCTCCCTGCGGGGTGGGGCCTCTCTGGGGCTGCTGCCCACAGCGTCTGAAGCTCACTTCCTGCACCTCTAGCAATGACCACAACTCTAGAGCAGCTAAGAGGGGGAATGATGAGTCAGCAACTGCCGGGAGTCTAGGAAACAGCTTAAGCCGGAGTTTTATAAAGACAATAAAACAACAAGCTGTTTAAATCTCATCTGCATGTTGTCGACTTGCATTTCCAGAGTCTATTCATCCAAAGATTAAAGATGTGTTTTTTTAAGTTGTGTTCTCCTGAACTTCTGCTTTGAGAACCCACTCTGGTCAAGTGGATTTGTGAAACAGGACATATTACACCCATCTCTGTCTCAGGAACTCACGGTGCAAGAAAACAGAAACACTTGCTTGCAAAGGCCTATGGTCAAGAATTCAGACTAATTTCCCCCTTCAAATCATTATTTCACCATGTAAACCTTCCCTTGGGCAACATTGACCTCCAGCGTGTCAAACAGCCTCAGGTCCTCAGAACTCCCTGCAGGACCTGTCCACTCCCTTGAGCTGTACAAACACCTCTCAATTATACTTTTAAGACCAATTCATGAAACTGTAAAGCCTATTTCTAAGATTTATGATGCTGTGATGGTTGAGGCTGTGTGTCACCTGGCTAGCCCGGTATCCTCAGAGGGTTGGCAGTCATGATGCAGTGAGCCCCTACAAGGACCCCTGAGGGGATCAACCCCGAGAGGAGACCGGCCCATCCACTGCCAGTGTCAACAGACATGCACCTGATACATCAGGACTTTCCAGCTTTTTCTTTTTGCTCGCTCTAGATCCCCACCATCTGACTTGCATTCTTGGAACTTGCGTTGGTGGCCTGCTTGCTGTCTTAACTGCCCATCTTGGGTTCCTTCAACTCTGCAGGCTGTGAGCCAGCAGCCTGCCATCCTACCTGTAGTGACGTGAGTCAGAAGAAGCCTCCAGCCTGACCTCTCACACGTGGACCTGAGACGTGCATGCCTCGGCAACTGTGTGAGCATTTCTCTGAGATAAAAAGGGCTCTCTCCCTCATATGTCTTATCTAAGCTTTACTGCCCAGCAGACACGAACCTTGCTTAGTCCTTACCCTACATCAGGAGGAACACAGCCTCGTGTTGTGTGAGCTTCACTTGTGCTTTCAGTGTGAACGGCTGAGAAGGTGGGTCTCTAATCACCCCCGACATTGAAGGGTGACGGCCTGCACCATCTGTGGGGGTGCCCAGGGAGCTCTGACAGCTTCAAATACACTTAGTTCTAATCAGCTGTTACTTGTCTACTAATTTTTCTCAGAGTTACAACAAAAGACAATAGGAGCAGAATACAATTAAGAAAATGCAAAAAAAATGTGTAAAAAAAGTAATTTCGTAGGTGTCACAGGTGACTCAGAGAAGTTTCTGGAAAAAAGGAAACTGCCCCAAAGTATGAAATCATATGATACAAGCATCTGTCCTGAATGGCATTTTAGTTTTGGTTTTTTAAACCATTAAATTTCTCAGCACTACCCATTTGAAAAATAGAAGCAAAATAAAAATGAGTGCTTCAAAGGCTAGTTACAGAAAGAAAAGAACTGCTTCCCAGCAAATGTGTGGAAAATACCCTACCTTTTAGAAATCTATTCAGACACAGTTCTTGAGAAGCTAGCAACTGTTTAATTGAAATGAAGCAAATAATTTTGAATCCTGCTTTTCAAAATAACAACACTAATTTCTTTTCAAATACAGCAAAGTCAGAGGAATCTTTTTCCAGGATGCATACAGACTCCTGGACTTGCCGCCCAGGCCACGCACGTGGAGGGGCTGGGCATGACTCACCGTGTCGTAGGTGGTGACGATCTTCTTCAGAACCTCGGGCACAATCCCTTGCAGCTCCATCGTGGGGTACTGCTCGCTGAGGTTCAGCACCACCAGTGGGGCATTATCGGGGCCCAGGAAGCGGGGAGACACTGCCAACATGCACTGCATAAGGTTGGCCACGGAGGACAGGCCACATAACTCCTTGAAGGACACCACTGCGTTCTGTTGGGCAGAAAAGGGAGGTGCTTCAGAATGAGTCAGTGGCGTCCGTTTATTATACATACGATGCAGGCCTACCTCAGAGGGACGGAGGGCTTGCTTCCAGGTAGCAGGATAAATCGAGTCATAAGAACTGTTTTTAGTTTCCTAGACAGCTGGACAATGAATATGGATGACAAAGAAGAACTGATACCTTTGAGCTGTGGTGCTGGACAAGAGCACTGAACATCCCATGCACTGCTAAAAAGAACACAGAACCATGTCTTGGAGTCTGTGCAGACAGAGGGCTCCGTGGAGGCAGGCATGGCCAAGCTCCAGTTCACACACTTTGGACATGTTGTTAGAAGAGGCCAGTCCTTAGAAAGGGCCATCATCAGACTTGGGAAGGTGGGAGATCTACAAACGAGGGGACAGCCCTCAACGAGATGGAATGACAGTGACTGCTGCAATGGGTCCAACTGTATCAGAGAAGAATACAGCACAGGCTAGGGCAGTGTTCAGGTCCGTTGTTTACGGGGTCACTATGGGTTATATGCAGCTCGATGGCATCTGACAACAACAATAGTGCATATGATGGGAAGTCTGATGACTACTTGTTGATCGCCTTCTAGTCGAGCACGACTCATAGTGACCCGATGAACAAAAGGCCTGAAGCCCCTCTACAACTATCAACGTTTATCAAAATTCACAGAGTTTCCAGAGGATGTTGTTTAGGAATTAGAGGCCACTCCTGCTTCCAAACCTGTCATAGAATGTTACTGGTTGAGTCGCCTGCGATGCATAGTGACCCTATGTACAGCAGCTCTGAACCCTTCCCTGTCCTGAGCCAGTCTCTCTAATTCTGACACAACAACCTCCATTGCCCCAGTCACTGCAAATCCATCTCAGCCGGGGTCTCTCTCTCCTGCACCAACCTCTCCTGGTCACGTGGCTTAGTGGTAAGGAAATGGGCTTTCAATGCAAAGCTACGGAGTTTGAATGGACCAGCTGCTCCTCTGTGCACTTTACAGCCTCTGAAAAGCTGCTGGAGGGTCAGTTATGAGCTGCTTCTGACTTTACGGCAATGAGGTGTGGGGGTTTTTTCTGTCGGGTTGTTCTATTTTGAGGATTTTTGTTTTTTTAGATATACTATTAAATGTGAACCAGCATTAGGGAAAAGTTTGAAATATCGTGAGAATTATCACAGTATGACGCAAAGGCAGCCCGCTGTGGTAAAAAGGATTCTGATGGACTTGCTCCATTTGTAAAAAATGTGTAAAAAAAAACCCCAACAACCCACAAAATAAAAATTGCACCGTCTGTGAAGTGCAATAAAACAACCTGTGACAAACTGAGGCATGTCTTACTTGATACACTTGAACCTCCCGGTACAACCATTATCAGCAAATTTTTGATGGAATTGGCTAATGATTATTTTATCCTGGGGAGAAAAATGGCTACTTTCCAAGGTAAATATAGACATTTGTGATCCCAGTTTATCAGAAGCGTTGAAAATGCAACTGAGAGGAATTCCTTCTTGAAGGCAAAGCCTCTTTCCAGATCAAAGTTCACAGAAATACTAATATTGATGCGTAACGTTAAACAAACAAGCAGGAACACTTCTGCACTCAAAAAAAAAAAAAAAGAAAGAAAGAAAGAGGTAAACATTAAGAAAACAAAATCAAATAACATGTAAAGCAAGCCAGGAAAAAATTGTCAGCTAGAAATTTGATTCTCGCTTGAACCTGTTTATGCTCAGAGCTTCCAAATGTGAAGGACCTTTGAGGACACTGCTGTTTACTGGCTGTGTCCAGCGGGGGTGTCCCAGTCACATGTTGTTATTGTTAGGTGCCACTGCGTGGACTCAGACTCAGAGATCCTACGTACAACAGAACCCAACTCTCTCTCCCCCTTTCTCTCACTCTCGCTCTCAAATCATTTGGGGCTCTGGCAGCCTCATGCTAAGGAGAGGAGCTGCTGGTCCAAACCCACCAGCTGCTCTGGGGAGAAAGATGAAAACCCTCCTCTCTGTGAGATTACAGCCTCAGAAAACTCCCCTGGCATGTCAGCAACTGGTCTTTTCTGACTCAACATATTACAACAACAACAGATAAATGCCATTAAATCATGTCTGAAGGAAAGCCCTTCAGAGACGTGAAATGCCACAGCTGGTATTCCTCGGGTCCTTCTGAAGCCTAACTGTCCTGGGCATACTACACATGGCCTCGCTGGACACATCGCCGATGCCGTGGCTGGGGCGGGGGTGCTGTGTCTGGACTGCAATCCATCACGTGTCTCAGGGGCACTGGGGTGAGTGGAGGAAATATCTTACGTCAAGGCCACACACAAAAGCAGTAATCAGGGAGTGCTGGCAGCCGAGTGTTAAGAAGTCGCACTGCCAACCCAAAGGCAGGCATTGCAAACCCATCAGCCGTGCGATGGGAGAAAGATGGGCAAGCTCTTCTTACGTGATTTACAGCCTCCAACAACCGCTGGAAGGTCAGCCATGAGCTGGTTCTGACTCGACACCACACAACAACAAGAATGAGGCATGTTGTCATTGTTAGGTGCCATCAAGTCGGGTACGGCTCACAGAGACCCTGTGAACAAACAGATGTGAAGCCTGCCCTGTCCTGTGCCGTCCTCACAATCTGTGACATACCTGAGCCCACGGCAGCAGTCACTGTGTCAACCCACCTGGTTGAGGGCACAACAGGTAAATATTCATCAAAACAGGACCTGGGCTGTTACTCGAGGCACACACAGCATGGCAGCCGGGGCGAGGAACTGAGACCAGACCAACAGAGCTTCTACCTCCTCCTTGCAAATACCTTGTTATTGTTGCCATGTGCTGTCAAGTCAGAACAGACTTGTAGCTCACCCTCCACACAGGTTTCCCAGCAAATACCAGACTAAGTAGGATTCCAGTTTTTTATTAATATCGTTTCACACATATGTAACCACCTGTGTTGTTTAAAGTCATTTTGATAGTGATTGGGATGAAAAGAAATCAGTCCTGAGGCATGCAGGGTGGGAAGCCTCACTTTGTCACGCTGCCTTGTTTTACTTTCTTACAGCACTTGGCTGACTCTGCAGTGAGCCCGTCTTCACCCGATCACCACGTCTCCTGCCCACCACCCTCTGTACAGGCAGGTCTGTGTACACTGCAGCCTCATGGCTGATGTCACACGCGTGTCCCCTGGACATGGCCGCCTGCCAGGCTCACTGAGACACAGCTCTCTGTCTGATCTCTGGAGGATGATGGGGCGGCTACGGGAGACCTGGGGCATGCACACGCCACCCTCACCCTCAGAAACAGGGAATAGGCTTGCACGTGCCTGTGTGTGCTTCCACTAAGGGAAGAAAATAAATAAAATAAGAAAGGGAATAGTTTCCTCATTATGGGCCAGTCCATGTATTAACTCTGCGCTTATGGAACTGGTTGATGTGGAATTTTCAAGGTCGGTTAGACTTTACATGCCAGCAGCATCCTCCACTTCCCACTCATTAATGACTAAATTGATGCAGCTTTATAAACTGGAGCATTTATCATGCACAGGGCACACTCCTCCTGGGGACAGGTCGTGCCCGGTCTCTGGAAAGGCGTCCCCACTGGCTAGTTCTGTCTCGCTCGTGGTCCTAGAGTAACCAGCACGGATTTGATCAAATCTGTGACTCCTCACTGATCTTAGAGCCACTATGCACCCTGAGATAACGACCATCTCAGACTGCTAATAATTAGATACAGGGTGTTTTGCGTAGACAACTAAATGCCTGGATGTGTTCTCAAAAGTGACGAAAATCAAGAGGAGGCTCAACATGCAAACACACGGGCTTGCCTGAGGGTCTACTAGCTCTGCTGCGTTCTAGCCGTGGGGGCGTGGTGCTTAAAGCCCTAGGCCGCAAAGTGAAAGGTCGATGCTTTGAATCCACCAATCACTCGGCAGGACAAAGGTGATGTAGTCTGTGTGTGAAAAGTTCAGAAAGATTACAGCCTGGAAACCCTGTGGGGCAGTTGTACACCCTGTTACTGGACCACAGAGAGCTCTGGTGGTCTACTGAGTAAGAAGTGATGTCAACCCAGGAGGCAGAGGGTTTGAATCCACCAGCTGCTCTCTGGGGGAAAGATGGGCAACTTCCTCCCCTGTGATCTGGAGCTTGTGAAAACCCACTGCACGGCCAGCTACAATCAGGTCCAAGCTCCGTGACGGGGTCACTGTGCCTCAGAATTGACTTGGTGGGCACAGGCTTGGGGTGTCATTTTAACAGCCCCCTCAGAAAGCCCTTCAACATCTCCTTTCTTCTATTGTTGGGTCATTCCAGCCGTGGAGGGTCAGGAAGACCATGATCCTTGCATGCCGACGGAGAAAGCGGGGCCGAGTATGTGGTCATTCACCGGGACTACAGAGCTGGGGCCCAGGCCCTGTTCACACTACTGTGTCATTTGGGAAATGCAAATGCTAAGACACGCTCCACTATGAAACCAAACTACTTGATGTGCAGAGCACTGGGTGAGTCAAGGCTTGGAAGGAGCCCCGCCCGGCACACAGGAGGCCAGTTACCTGCATGTTCTCTCTGAGGTCCGTGGCGTCCCGGATGGACGGCTGGGCGTTCCTAAACACTTCGTCCACGGGCTTGATCCACAGGGTCCTCAGGGAGGCATACTCCCGGGCCCTCCGGCCCTTGCGCACCGACAGGCCCCGCTTGTGGGGTTTGCCGCCGCCTCGCCGGTTGGTGATGGCCACGTGCACGAAGAGGGACGCGTGGGCCAGCACGTCGCCGGCCAGCGACTGCAGCGGCACGTGGCGGTAGCCCGTCTGCAGACACTCGAAGGGGATGGTGTACTGGCCAATGAATTCGTCCCCGATGTAGTCGTCGTCCAGCACCACGAAGCGCACCATGGCCAGCTCGGGCAGGTTGACCTGGAACTCGAAGCTCTCGTCGAAGATGGGGGTGTCGCCGTTCTGGTGCACCGTCTTGGTCCTCTGCTCGGCGCAGTCGGCGGGGATGCCGTGGATCTCCACGTACACGTAGGGGTCCACCACGTCGCCCTTGGCCCCCGAGCCCTTGGGCTTGGGGAAGTGCTGCCCGCTGATGACCTTGATGTGCAGGAGCTGCGGGGACACCCCGGGCACTGAGTCCTTGGTGTTGGCGCTGAAGAAGGACACCTCCTCCCGCATGATGGCGGGCCGCAGCACGTAGCCACAGTTGCCATTCTGGCGGAACCAGCCGATGTTGAGGTCCATCATGAGGCCCGGCGTCTGGAAGTTCATGGCCACGATCTGACAGCCGCACTTCCAGAAGTCCTGCGGGTTCATGTTGCTGGAGTCGATGCGCATGGGGCTGGGGAAGACGCGTGCCAGGAAGCGCTTGTTGTAGTTGACGAAGTCGCCGGGGCTCTCGTTGGCGTACTTGGTGGCCAGCACCTCGTTGAAGGAGCACACCTCCCAGTACTTCTGCGCCTGGAACGACGCCTGGAACTCCTTGAACTGCACCGACTTGCAGATGCTCACCAGCTCCGACAGCTCCTTGCAGAGCTGGAAGCGCTTGGCGGCCAGGTGCCCAGGGGGTTGCTCCCCGCCGTCCTTCCCCACGCGCTGCGACATCTCGGCCCCCTCGTCCTCGTCCGTCACATCCCCCTCCACCCCGGAGCAGCTGGAGGACAGCTTCTTGGCCTTGATCAGGATCTTCCCTTTGAGGACGTCTGGCGACGGCAGGTAGGACTCCTCCACGTTGGGGGACGTCGTGTACAGCTTGTCCCCCAGGATCTTGCGCATGTGTTGCACCATCACCTTCTGCTGTTTGATGGAGCAGTGGTTCTCCAGACACAGGATGAGCGGGTACTCGGACGCGAAGAAGGCGTACTTGTTAATGATGTCAATGACGCTGCGGAAGACAATCTGGGAGGTCATGGTGTGGCCCGTGTAGATGACCGGCTCGTTGTCCGGCCCGTCCCACACGTCGAGCTCCACGCTCCGGCAGCCCATCTTGAGGGCTCGGATGTAGCCCGAGATGTCGGAGGGACCCCGGAACTGATCCTCGATCAAGTACGTGTTGTGAGATGAGTTGATGAAGTAATGGGACAGGGGCTGCTTCATGTCCTGACAGACATTCTTGTGCTCCGGGTCAAAGAGGTAACAGTCGGGGGACATAAGGTAATTGGTGAAGCCGTCAATGGAGAGCCAGCCCTTGGCCTGGCCTTCCTTGGAGGGCTCATACTTGTGGATGATTTCAAGGCTCAGTTCCTCGTTGATGTGGGCCACGCCCTGCTCGGCCTCAAGAAACATCATAAGGTCCTTGATATCAAGGAATTCTTTATTGCTTGAAAACTGAACTAAAAGGAAATAGATTTCAGGCCTCGTGCAGAGCTCGTGGAAAACCTCCACAAACTCGTCCCGCGTGACGTCCGTCCCTGCCTTGTCCTTGGCTTTGTGCAGCTCTTTGAACTTGAGCTCGATCTTGCTCGTTTTCAGCCCGGGGTTGAGGTTTCTGATGCACTGCACAGCACTGCACAGAGTTACGTGTTCCAGGTTGTCCACGTCTAGTTCACTAAACATCTGGGACACCCAAGAAGTCCTCATGTTGTCTTGGCTACTCTCCAGCATGTCAAGGGTATGCTTCCCGTAAGAAATGAGGTACCGCAGTCCGGTAACCCAGATATTGGCAACATCCGCCGAGTTGGCGACCAAGTCAAGGGACTCATAGTTCTCACCGTAGATGACCGAGAAGGCACAGTCTTCAGACATCTGGTCAGAAACGCCGTTGCTGCGGAATATGTCCGTGTTCTTGCCAGTTCTCACCTCCTTGATGGACTTGATGTCGATCTTGGCCTTCTCGGAATCCTTCTTGGATGGCTCCCACCTCAAGCTCTGCATGTCAGCGTCCAGTAAGAAATAGCGATGGTAAATCCTCGAATTGGACCGGACCTTTTTGAGCTCCGAGCCCTCAACCATGGAGTTGATGCAGTCGCTGGCGCTACTGATCTTCTTCTCGGTGGGCATGCTACTGAAGGAGACGGTCTTCTTCCGCTCCCGCTTCTGCTTTGTACCATCCTGGAGGAGAAAAGAACAACACTGAGTCAGGGCAACACACACACAGGCTTCTGGGGTCAAGACAAAGAGTAAAAACGTTAGTTCCATGGGGGAAAAAAAACCCAAATGGTTAAGGTTTCCTATTCTCTGTCCTGTCGGTGCAGGATACCCTCTCTTCTAAAGCTTCGGAGGAACCTTGCTGCTTACGGCCTGATGCCAACAGGTAAGCAACCGTTACTGGGTCATTGCAACCCATGAGCGTCAAGAAATCATTCCAACAACATAGCATAAAACCGTATACGCACAGCTGGCCACACAATTTGCAGGGGCCAAGGCAAAGTGAAAATAAACTGCAGGACTCCCTGTTCCAACAATGTTGAGGATTTCAAGAAGGCAACACAGCAGGGTGTCAAGCCAAGGGTGAGTCCCTAAGAGCACTGGCCCTGGGCCTGGGTGACCCAGCGTGACTGCAGAGGCCACACACCCAGGACGGAGGCCGGCTGGTCTCCACTTCTCTACCACCTGTGTTATACAAAGGCACGTTGCCAAATTCTTGCCTCAGAATCACTTGGACGACATGGGTAGTTCTTGATTTTCCTGTAACATCAGTCCTGGTCCTCAATAATTGAGATTCTTGTCAGGTGTCAGCGAGTCAAAGACGACTCCCACCAACCCTACGAACCAAGTTGCGAACCTTGTCCTGTCCTCATCCTCTCTGATATGCTCAAAGCCATTGTTTTGTTGTCACTGTGTCAATCTATCTTCTTGAGTGTCTTCTTCTCTTACATTGACCCGCCACCTGACCTGGGATGACGTCCTTCTCCGAGGACTGATCCCTCCTGACAACAAGCCCTTACCATGCTTGCCTCCAAGAAGCACCCTGCTTTCAGACACGGTTTTACTGTTATGATATTATTACGCCTGGGCGGGAATCCTAGACAACGGCTGAAGGTGCCGCTAACGTTTTAGAGTTGGATTATGGAGTCGACTAGGAGGTGGCAGGGAATCGCCTGGAGCAACGGCACCTTTGTACTTCCAGTGCCAGTACTCTAAGGGCAAGAGTTTTAGGCCGAGTATTTTCAGAGAAGTCTGCATCACCAAACACGCACTCCTTAGCTTTTCTGCAGAAACCTTCCTACTCCAAAGTGTGGACACCACACAGGCAGGTGTACTTAAGTTGTGTTTATGTAGAACTAAAAACTAATCCAGGGCTATAGAGTCTGAACAGACTCATAGCTGACCCTCCAGCAAGTTCTCAGAGGCTGTAAATCACGCAGGAGGAGACTGCCTATCTTTCTCCCTCACAGCAGCTCGCAGACTCAAACAGTGTACCTTTGGATTATTGGCAGTACAACTTTTTACCCACTAGGCTTCCAGAATGTTCTTGTTCACATACCCAATACCTTTATTATGATTATTTAAATTTCTCAAATGACCTCACAAATCTTTCACAACTTTAAAAATATTGTATTGCCTTTCAAAAAGTGTAGCCAAGCAGATAGGAATTTGTGCTAAAAAGCACTGAATTTACAGATGAAAGAGTGGGGTGTTGGGATTATATTACTTCACGGCAATAAGGAAAACCGCATGCAAAACATTGCACAAAGGCAAGTCTAGTTCTCCAGCTTTAGATAGGATCTGTTTTGAATAAAATCTTCCCTCTATTTTAAAAGCTATTACACCACTTCCGATGACTGAAATTCAAAACCGTTTTTACTTTTTGATTCCCTATCCTTCTAAAAGCAATTTGCAAGAGGTAATTAAACTTTAAATCATGAAGGTACCATTTCTCTCAAAGTTTAAAAAAAAAAACAAAACCAACTACGGAGGCTTTTGCTGACCCGAATGTCAAGATAAAACAGAAAAGCCACAGGCCAAGTAATCCTTTACAACTGCATCCTCAGAACAATACAGTGACTGAGCCAAGGCTGTATCCACAGTGTCCAGGAGGTACTGCAGGAAAGCCTTTCCAAACCCCCAGGGCAGAAACCCTAGTCTATCTGTCCAAGCAAGTTGGTGTCAAATTCAATGTGTAGCCAGCCATGCGTAAGAGCGTGGGGGAAAAAAATGTATGCATTTCCTATTTTTCAAAACAAAAATACAAGCTGTCGCTCCTTTTAAAATACGTGGGCAATCTCCTCTTCCGCAATTAACAGCCTCTGAAAACCCACCGAAAGGTCAGCTAGAGATGGTACTCAACAACATCACTTATAAAGGGAGCACTGGCGGCCAAGTGGTTAGAAGCCGTGCTGCAATCCCGAAGGCGTGTGGTTCAAATCCACCATCTGTTTTGCGATGGGAAATCTCCTCTCATGTGATTGATTGCCTTTGAAAACCCGCTGGAGGGTCAGCTATGAGTCTGTTCGGACTCAGTGGCACATAATAGCAACCTTTAATAAAGACAGAACTATTAATTACATATTAAAAGTTCACTTTCCTTATAAATTGTGTATCAAAGGTGTCATTAGTGAGAAGAAATTGCAAAGATAAATGGAGAAGCTTGTCTATTACAAAACATATAGTATTTTCTTGCAGTTTGAATCCACCAGATGCTCTGCTGGAGAAGGAGGTGCAATCTCTTCCTGTACCAGTCAGATCGGATCTCATGGTCCACACACAAATAATAATAATAATAATAATATTTTTTAAAACAGACCCAAAAACCCATATAGTATTTTCTTAACATTTACCATCTTCTGTTATGCCATTTTTAAGTTTTAAGTGTGGGCCACAACTTTACCACCCTATTCTAATTAGTTGCAAATGAGACATTTCAAATTCATAGATGTCTTTTGTGATTAAGAGCGGAAAGCCAAACTGTGAAGTCGGTTAACAACAAGCACACCACATCTGTGGGCCAGGCAGCCACTTAAAGATGGAACTTGGGGCTTTAACACGATGGCCTTGCTTGACACAAACCTGCCCCAGCTCTGGTCTCTGGTTTCTTATCATTGATTCCAGAGATACATTAGTATGCTGACCCCCAAGCACAGGCTGATACGAGGCTCCAGGGCACCTCTTCCTAAGACTTCCGGTGGCTTCTTGCCCCCGGCCCCTGGTTGCCTCCAATCACCCTGTTCTCTCCACAGCACCCTGGCTGTATCCCTGACGTCTGTGTTCCTCTTTCTCACCAGCAGATTACATCCCTGGGAGATGGTCCTCAGACCAGTGAGCAGGGGCCCGGGGGTGTCAGCCTTGCTGCTCGGTGGACCTGCACCTCCAACTGAAGACACAGTGAGATCTGATGGTAAGAAAGGGGAGCGAGCTGGACCCCCCAGACAGGGACAAGAGAAGCTTCCGTGTGGGAATGAAAGACAGCAGGAGTTAGGAGGAAGGAGGGCCATATCCCAGCCTGCCTAGTTCTCTGGAACAGGATCCCACTCTCATTTCTAACGGGGTTCACTCTCTGGCCCTGCAGGAATCAAGGGTGCATCTAAGTCAAGCAGTGAGTCCAGAGCAGAGGAATCCAAAGAGTGACAGGCCAAGAAAAGGGCACTTTCAAAAAGAACAGAAGAAAGTAGCCACCTTACAAGCAGGTATGAAGAAATTCACTTTGACATTCAGGTATTCTTAAGGCTAAGTACTGCTGTGTGCTGTCGAGTTGGAACTGACTCCTAGCTGTCCCTCCGGCGGATTTTCAGAGGCTGTAAATTGCAGAGGAGGAGGCTGCCCATCTTTGTCCCAAAGAGCAGCTGGTGGATTCAAACTGTGAGCCTTTGGGATAACAGCGTGTTCTTCACACTAGGCCCCCCGATGGGCCAGTGTATAAGAGTAGACAGAGTGTCTTGAACCTCAGACATGGGATGTTTGCAAGCCTTCACACAGCCTGCACCCTACGCCCTGGGGCCTGGCAGGAGAGAGCTCACTTCAGGGGTATATGTGGGGTGATGGGTGCTACAAACCATCTTCTTCCCAAAACTCTTGTCACAAGAAGTAAAATCCTGACTCAACTGTGGTTGAGGCAGGAAGACCTCAGCCCCCAGGACCTCTGAGGAAGGGTGGACACAAAGCTGTCCACCTCCAACAGCAAGGAAAAAGTTACTGCCTTTGAGCAGGGCTGGAGGAACCCTCTGGACCCAGAATCTTACCAAAGCAGATCTGTGTCGCCCCCCGGGGAGGGGCAGTGAGGGTCACCTGCCCCAGCTCACAGCAGAGGCACACGCCGAGCTTGGCTGCGATGGGGAGTGACCAGGAGAGCCTGGCTGGAGCAGCAGCAGGTACATGGAGCTGCTGAAGACTGAATGTGGACCCAGAGAAGCAAGAATCACCACTGACCCGACTAACAGCCCAGAACTGGGCAGCACTGGAGGAGGAAAACGATCCTTCCACACACAAGCACTGAACAGCTGTAAGCTGAGGACAGTCTGAGAACACTGAGTCAACGCAACTGAGCCAACTCGAGGCTGCCAGTCACAGGGACGTGAGGGAGTGGAAAGTGACATCAGAGATGCGCGGAAGGTGACAGCAGGACCTGAAACCCCAAACGCAGCTCAGTGACTGACCAGATCGACTCGATATCCCCCAAAACCGAAAAACAAGGGCAGGAAGGCCTGCTTCTGGACGCAAATACTATTGATCTCACACTTTCGCAGACAAGCCGTTCATTAGAGGCTGCAGGTTATACAAAGTAACGTCAAAAAGAGAAACCCATTGTCAAATGACAACCTACAGGCAATAAAGCCAGGTTCTCAGGTAGCCCAGATGTTGGAATCAGCGAAAAGGGACTTTGCAAATGGTCTGACGGCCTCGAGACAAAAAGCTGTGCTGCAATCCCAAAGGCACGTGGTTCGAGGCCACCAGCTGCTCCATGGGAGAAGGATGGACAATCTCCTCCCGTGAGATTAACCACCTCTGAAATCTCGCCAGAGGGTAAGCCTTGGGTCGGCTCTCACTCTATGGTAGACAACAACAACATTTTACAAATAACCATTATCAGAGATGATAAATTCTGTTCATGGACTTCTAAATAGACTAGACAAAGCCAAGGGACTAAAGCACTGAACCTGAAGACAGACAAATAC